ATTTTACTATCTATCACATTGTTAAAATATATATAATAACAATAAATCACTCATCCATTTTTATTCATTTATCAAGTAAAAAATAGGACAATGTTCGATTTAAATCAAATTAGGTAAATTAAAGTCGGTTTGCTTTCGGTTCAGATTAATTTCTGTTTAGGTTGCTTTCGGGTCGGATTAAATTCAGTTCAAGTTGCTTTCGGATTGGGTTAAAATTCGATTATGGTTAAAATTTAGTTTGAGTTTCTTTTGGTTCGGGTTGATTTCGGTTCGGGTTAGTTTCGGTTCAGGTTAATTTTTATTTCGGTTTTGCTAAATTTTGGATCAAATATGGTTCGGGTCGGGTATCAGATCAAATTTGATTATTATATTTGGGTTAATATCATGTATCAGGTCGGGTAAATCGATTTAGGTAATCGGGTTCGTGTCAATTTTGTAAGGTTTAGTAAATATGTGAAAAAGAAAGTTGTAATAGATTATAAGTTAATGATTAATCATTTATTAACAGTTATATTACGATTACTAAAATTTAATAATTATTTTAATAATTAATCGAAACATTTAAGTTAAATAATATGATTCGCAAGCACCCCTAAATATAATAAATCATTTTTTTCTTGAAATCTCTCTCTTTTTTAATTTATTACTTTATTATATTGTAATTTAAGATTTAATTATATAGTTTATTTAGTGTAGTTAATTTTTCTTATTTTTTTGTTTAATTTAGGGATAAAACCCAATTATATTATGTAAAACTTTTTTGTTTTACATGAATTTAGAACTGTTGGACGAGCGATAATAGATATATAAGATTAACAATAGATGAGAATATATTCTCTAGAAGAAAAAAACAATGAATTAATCTTAGTAATATATTTTTACTCTTTCAATGATTCTAAATATGTATAAAATTTAAAAAAAAAAGATTTATAATCGATCCCTAACTCTTATAGGATATGATCCAACTAAAAAATGTAAAATTGTTTATTTTTACAAAGATTTAGGACAATTGAATAAATAACAACATACGTGTAAAATCATCAATAAAAAATAAGATATTCACTAAATAATTAATATCATTAACTATTCTGATCAAAATCTTGTAATTTAGAAAAAAGAACAATCTTAAGAGTATATTTGTTTCACTGAAAACATTTTTCAAAAAATATTTTTTGTAAAATGAATTATATTTTCTGGAAAACATTTTCTTGAAAACATCTTATGGAGTTTGGAAGAGATTGTATAAACCATTTTCCTCTAGTTGATATTTTTTTAAATTATTTATTACAAATATTATATACAATAAATAATATTATTTATAATAAAAATTTCATATTATTATTTTTAAAATATTAAAATAGTTTATTTATTATTATTAAAATGTTTTTTCTATAATTTTATTAATAAAAATATTATGATTATTTAATTTTATTGAAATAATTATTTATTAAAGTAATTGTATTATATTATATTTTAAAAAGTAATAATTAATATATTTTAAATATCTTTATTAAAATATTATTAGATGATTATATTAATATTAAATACATAAATAATATTATCCATAATTAATAATTTAATAATATTATTTCTATGAAATTGATAAATAATATAAATTTTATTAATAATTTATTATATATTTTTAAAATAAAAATATAATATCTTATATTATATTATTATAATATAATTGAGTATTTTATTATAATATTATATTATTAGAAATATTAATAAATATATTTTAAATATTTTAATAATTAATATTTTGATTAAAATGATATTAAAATATTTTATTAATATTAAATTCATAAAATAAAATTATTTTTATTATTTATTCTTTGAAGTGAAAAGCTCAGAAAATGACTTATGAAAATCAGACCGTAAGTCATTTTCAAGAAAATACAAAGAAAATTTTATTAACCAGGAAAATGTTTTACGTTGACCAACTAGTTTTTCTTCGACCAAACATTGAAAAATGAGAAAAACAAGAAAATGTTTTATGTGAAACAATCAAACCCTAAGTGTTTAGTGACACATAAACATTTTATCATATAATATTTTTACACAATTGAAAAAAAGGAATTTATTAGATGAAGTTGTTTGCTTTTTTTTTGGATGCCCTCTAATTCCAAGGCTTTTCCTTGATTAATCTGGATCGACCCAAGTGGCACACCTGATTTTGGTGGGTGAGTCTCCCGGCGGGAGTTTTCTACATACATAAGGACTCGAACTTGAAACATTGCTTAAGCAATATCAAGTTGCTTATCACTTGAAATAACCTGATTGAAATTGTTTACTTTTATTATTCTTTTAAACACCTCAGACATTAGCATGTGATTTTTTATTCCAATTTTGAATAATTAATGGTGCTGAAAAAACTGAACTAATTGATATATTATAAAAGTAAAAAAGAATAGTTTATATCAAAATAAATTATAAATCAATTCCAATTTTTAACATATTAGAGGGAACAAAAAATAAATTAAAAATATTGTGGTCGATTTTTTTTAAATGAGTGTGTTTGAAGATTATTTTAGGATCTAGGTCATTTGTTATAGTAGTGACGAGTTCCTTAAAATATATTAAAAATATAAAATTTATTATATAAATTAGAATAAAATTTTATGGACCTTATCACCTCCACGTGGTAAGTTTTTTTTTATGAATTTCGACACCCCTGCAATGAATTCCATGTGTAACGTAGTAAGTGGCCTAGATTCCAAATTAATTCTCAAACATCCGTATTTAAAAAAAATCGCCTGAATTATTTAGCCAATGAAAACGAAAGGAACATAACTATATTCAGTCATATTTTTAGAAGATAGTTATTTTAAGGCTTAATTAGAAAATAAGTGCCTAAAATATAGTGGTGTTCACGTAGGTACCTAAATTATTTTTTTGAATGATCATGGTGCCTAACGTACAAATGCTATCACTTTAAGTCTTGTGCCATAACTATCGTTAATTTCTGCGTTAAATGACACGTGACACATCCTAGTAATTTTGAATTTTTTAATTAAAAATATTATTATACTTATTAAAAACCCATAATTTCTCTTAAATTACAAAAAATCCAAATCTATAAAATCCTAAATCCTCAAACCTAACTCGACACTGTCATCCTTTTCAACCACGACTATCGTCGTTGATGTAGTCCATGCCATTCTCCTGGTCATATGACATCTAATTTCCATTGATTGGTCGTCGGAATCCCATGGGATCACGATTTTTATCCTAGGATTTGTGTAGTACAAAACGTTAATTGGTCATTAATCAGTCGTGATTTCATAGGGGTATCGATCGTCGGGGGAGGTGAGGTCGGGTGGAGCTTCGTCGACGGTAAAGGGTTGAGATCGGTGTGGGTTTAGAGGTTGAAATGAATATTTTTAAAATTTTGGGGCTATTTTGAATTTTTTTGTGTTTTAAAAAATTATAATTATATTTTTTTAATTTTAAATAAAAATTTTAAAATTAACAGAATGTGACACATGTCGCTTATCGGAAGAAATTAGCGGTTCGGACACCTAAAGTGGTAACGTTTGTAATATTACACCAGAATCATTAAAAAAAATAGTTTAGGCATTTATTCGTGAAAATCGCTATAGTTTCGACATTTATTTTATAATTAAGCTTTTTGTAACCATCAATAATATATTGCTTATTTTTATAACATTTTATTTATCAATAATATATTGTTTATTTTTATAACATTTATACATTTTACAAAATTGATAATACATATATTTCTTAAATTTTGTACTATAGACTCTTTTATTTTTAATATAACTGATTCATTTGTTTCATTTATGTTTTTTTATTTCTTAATATAATAATTTGAAAATAATAATACTAACAATCAATTACATATACAAATAATTTAAAAACGATTTAGTTTATAACATTTTAACTTATTTTTAATTTTAAAAAATTTAAAGTAGAGAATTTTCAGTTGGGCATATTACATTGTTCCTCACTGAACTTTACTATATATCCTATTTTACTCAATGTACTTTCAATTTTTCTATTTTACTCGTTGAACTTTACAGATTGAATCATTTTGTTCACTCCGTTGTTAACTTTTTACAATATTATGACAAGTCACAAACATCAAAATGACGTCATTTTGAAAAACTCAAATATACCCAAAAACAACGTCATTTGGAATCATCTTCTTTCCCCCAATTACCACCGTCGACCACATATCATTTTTCATTCCGACCACCATCGATCGTCTTTGATGGTGGCTATTTGGTCCCAAAATTCATGGGTCGGTTTGCCTCGACCTCCTAAGTTCGAATATAGTGGTTGTTTCACCAAAAAATGTCCTAAAATCCGTGAATCTCGACTGAAACGTTTTAGCTTCCTTACTTCCAATCTCCGATTCATGGAATTCAGACCAAGTTCCAACAAAAAAGAGGTCGGATTCGGACTCAAGGTACCAAGGCAAAGTGACCCATGAAATTTGGGACCAAACATCCATCATCTACGGTGGTCGACAGTGACCGATGGTGGCATCCGACCACCTTATGTTTTTATTTTATCGTTTGGTGAGCAAAATATGAGAGACAATAAAGTTAAGTGAAACGATGTAATTTATCCTTCATATTTTAAATTATTTTATATTAACTAATAAAAAAATGACACATCATCATAACATTAGAGAGAAAACGATAGAGTGAGCAAAATGATTAAATATATAAAGTTCAGTGCGCAAAATAAAAAAATTGAAAGTACAGTGAGTAAAATATAATAGAGAGAAAAGTTAAATGAGGAACAATATAATTTACCGTTTTAGTTTAACACAAAAGACTTAAAAATAGCTTAAGAAATAATAACATGTGTCCGATTTTACATAAACAAGTTGTGTCAGCCAATCACATTGCAGAAACCAAATCAAAAAGTGGAAAACAACAAAAAGGGGAATTCCCAAATTAGTTGGACTTTCTGTCTCGTTTGCTTGCTACCCTCTTCGTATTGGGTTCTCTGTCTCATCTCTTCAATCATATTTTCTTTTTCTTTGATGTTATTTTGGAAGTGAATGTTATTATTATTATTGCTTTATAAATGCAGGTAAGTAAGAGGAAAGATCAGTTTTTTCTTTTTTAAATCGGGACATTTCTGTGTGGGATTTGAGAGGATCCATGGCTGCCCCAACTGCTAGAGCTCGGGCTGATTATGATTTTCTCATTAAACTTCTTTTGATTGGTGATAGTGGTAAGCTCTCTTCTTTTCTTTTTTAATTTTCTGGGTCAAAGAATAATTTTTATTGTCACACCATTGAAAAATGAAACATGGATATTGGAAAAACTCTGATCTTCTGTTATTTTTTTTTTTGGTTTTGATTTAATGTTGCTCAGATTCCATTGCGAAAGAGACCATATGCAATATGCTTTTCGTTTGTGATTTTATGGCTTTCAGGCTTTGCTTATATTTATTGTATTATTGCGTTTTTTTTTTGAGCTTTTCATTGGTTTTAAAGAAATGGATTTTCTTCAAATTGATTCTGGCAATTATTATTTGCTACAATTTAATGAAGAGAAGGATATTGGTGAATTTAGATTGGGATCATGATGGAAGTAACTTTATTATATTGTAACATAGGAAGTGTCATATGCTTACCGGATATCCATATGCATACATAGCAGCTATTCTAGGAGTTTAGCAAATGATCATTACACTGATTGAATACTCGAAAAATGACTTGCAACCACCGGATGCAAATCCAAATCCAACTATGATGATCGAAGCCCTGAAAAACATTAAACAGACAATGTAAGCTTATATAGCTTAGTGAGGAATAGCTAGGGTCTCTCTCTCTCTCTCTCTCTCTCTCTATATATATATATATATATATATATATATATATATATATATATATTTGAGAAATTTTATAGCAAGTATCATACACCCGCAGAAACAGGAATCACCGTTTAAAAGTTGATGACATCATTTTGTTGAATTTTTTTAATTGTACTCTTTGATGTGGAATCTTGATGCCAAGACATGCATATGGATCATTGTTGTGCTGTTTCATGAAAAACTTGGTGTGAAGCTTTGCAACATGATACGAATCTGATGCAGAGTAGGAAATAGAATTGCTTTTGTTGGAGAGGCACGCTTTGTAATCTGTATGGCTTGGCTTACAAGTTAAAGAGAATGATCATGTGATCTCATGTTTGGGCTTGAATTTTACATAGCTTTAAATATTTTCCCGACTGATTTTCGCATTTGAATCTATGCAGGAGTGGGGAAGAGTTGTCTGCTTTTACGTTTTTCTGATGGTTCCTTTACTACTAGTTTCATAACGACCATCGGGTTTGTATTCCTCGAAACTCCTGTCAGTGACTTGTTCGAAGTTAATTCCGGTATTTGGACCATTTGGTTACTTCCAATGAAACTGCAGCATTTTAGGGATGGAATGGAGTTCACAGTTATTGTAATATAAGTTTTCAGTTTATCTGTCCTGGACAATACCTTCGTAATTGGTATTCAACTTGAAAATTTGTACGCACCCTTCAAGATGGTGCTCAATGAACTATTTACAGCAGTAGTCTCTAATTATTTCACTCATTTTCTCAGTACACCACATAATATATTGGTTGAGGCATCTTTTCAGCTGATTCTCTAAGATTTAAAAAGTTTGATAACTTTATGGAACGTTTTCTCTTGTTGACTGTTCTATTTTCCTTGACAGCATAGATTTCAAAATAAGAACGATCGAGCTTGATGGTAAGAGAGTCAAATTACAAATCTGGGATACAGCTGGTCAAGAGCGATTTCGAACTATTACAACAGGTGTGTTTAAGCTTTTTCTGGCTGAACTTTTTATTTTCTTTTCAAACTATTACGACAGGACCATTAAGCTTGATGTCTGACTTTGCTGATGAATCATGCTTCTGCAGCATACTACCGTGGAGCTATGGGGATTTTGCTGGTTTATGATGTTACTGATGAGTCATCTTTCAATAGTAATGTTCCGGCTTTATTAATTCTATTTTTGGCATTAGGTGACATTGTCAATTTATGGATTGATAAGCCGTTGTTGTTGGATGATTTCCATCGTTTTTATGCTTGTCTCCTCCCATGGGTTAGGGAGTGAAATTGGTCTGTGGTGATCCTCCTCATCACTGCTTTTGTGGTGATGGCTTAGGATTTCTTTCTGTTGGTATGGAGTTTCTTACAATGGATCCTACATCTATTGCAATTCTTATAGAGCCAACTTTTGTTTATGTATAGATATTAGGAATTGGATTCGCAATATCGAACAACATGCTTCAGACAATGTCAACAAGGTTCTGGTTGGAAACAAGGCTGACATGGATGAGAGCAAAAGGGTAAGATTTTCCCTTTTTGAGTATTTATATAAATTGCTTATCTTGTTTGTATTGGTGGTTAAATTGCCAATTCATTCTGTCCCGAGTCAACCCCTTATTCGTCGTATATATACACATGAACCAGACACATTTATCAAGTAATAATCAGAATTAATCTCCTCTTTCATAGGCTGTGCCAACCTCCCAGGGTCAAGCTCTTGCTGATGAGTATGGTATCAAGTTTTTCGAAACTGTAAGTCGCATGTTTGCTGCCGACTGGATCTTTTCTTTCTTTAATGCTATTGATCATTTCTTTGGATACTATTGGAACAATGTAATTCTGCAGAGTGCAAAGACGAATTTGAATGTGGAGGAGGTTTTCTTTTCGATAGCCAGCGACATTAAGCAAAGGCTCACAGAATCTGATAATAAGGCTGAGGTATTCTGTCTTCTGAATGTATACTTTATTCACCTTGATTCTTCCTTCTACTGCTTTGCGTTCAAAATGACGGATGCCTTGTTTTTTGTGGTTACAGCCAGCCGCAATCAAAATCAATAAGGAAGACCCTGGAGCAAGCAGTGCTCAAAAGTCGAATTGCTGCGGATAGTAATGGGATTAAAAAGGGTATGCAGATTCAAAATGGAAGGTTCAGCTTCACAGTTGCTCTGATGTAAAACCAATCGTTCATGTATTTATTCTCTTGTTTTTTATTTATAGCTACCAGTATTAGCTCGTTAAAGCCAGTTCCTTTTTTTTCATTTAACTTTGTGGAATTTTATATCTTTAATCTCCTTGAACTCAAACGACCCTTGATATTGTACTTGTCTTGTGTAGATAGATAACCCAAATTCATGTTTTGGTAAAAAGGTCTTAACCTGAGTAGAGTGGTAAAGATTCAAAATGTCGGAATTCAAACCCTAAATTCATGTTTTGGTAAAAAGTTCTTAACCTGAGTAGAGTGGTAAAGATTCAAAATGTCGAATTCAAACCCCAAACCTTCTGAATAACACCCTTTAAGGGCAACTTATAATCGAGTTAAGCCTGGGAGTTGTTAATCCACTCATGTAATATGTAATATCCCATGATCTTATATGCATATGCTGAGGTGAGAGAACATTTTTATGTTTAGAACCCTCAAGTCATGAGCTTCGATGATTTGAACCCTAGATTAAGATCGGTCTCTGATACTTGGCCAGTAGGGTTGGTGCCCTTGGGTTCAATGTCACCTGCTTCGACCATATGTATGAAATATAAGTACTAAAGAAAGCAGTGTTACTAAAGATGGTGAACTTGTTTCATGCAGGAGCTTCGACCATATGTGTGAAATACAAGTACTAAAGAAGCCATATAAATAACCTCAAATTTGACTCCATGACATCCCTTCCCTCATCCTTAGATTATGTATATAAGAGCCTCAGGCGATGTAGTGTAACCAGAATATCAAACTTTACATAAACGTCCATTTGATCCGAAGTCTTACAAGCTTAGAAGAAGATTTCATCCTTCTCGAGTACACAAGGACCAACTGCTAGACGAAAGAACCAATACTAGATGGGAATAAGACCAAGAGACCTAAGCCTAAGTATGTAATTATGGGAATACAACATTAATCTACATTCTTATGCTACCACACAAATAAGTAGATAATTAGTCTGGGACAACTCTAATGCATATTAGTACGGGGAAGTGTGGACTATTCGTATTATGAGAATAATCTCCTTTAATGCATATTCTTTCGCATCATTATTCAACCAAGGCTACTTATCACTAAACCTTTGCATATTATGCAGACTTCTATAGAGGGCACAAATGTCACTCCGGTTGAGAGCATATTGGATCTAATGCAACCTTGGCAGGATAACGTACTTGTAGTTTCTCATAAAGAAATGGAGAACAGAATTACAAGGTCGACAGGGACACAGATTCAACAACTCTATTTCAATAGCATGCATTTAGAAAAGTTAGATTCTACTTCTCACAACAATGATTTTCAAAATATAAATGTCTCGTTTCGAAAATTTTGGAAACACATGATGTCTGTTAGCATCCATCTGCTCAACTTAATTAAATCCCAAAACATGTATAAGATACATACTCCTATGCACAAATCTGACTAGCCTCACAAGCTTTGCGAGGCAATGTCTTCATCTCAAGATGACACATTCCCATAGATACACTGAAGTTCACAGGTCGCAGCTTGATATGAAGCTGAGAAAACGAAAGAAGGAAACCAAGTGAGAGAAGTTAAAAAAAAACCTTTCAGGTATTCATCAGGTTCACGACTACACTACCTTTCCAGATGCGAAAGTTCTTCAGATAATTTGGGATCCTGTCACATTTTGAATTACATCGAAAAGCATCTCCTGCGGAGTGTTTTTGAGCTCCTGAACAACTGCATAGATGGTCTTTCCATTCTCAAAGTAAATATGATTATTGGGGTGTTTGGTCTTGCAATTAGCATGGCGCTCAAACTCATATGCATTCAAAGCCTGCATATAAATTTCAAATCATAAAGCCATGATACTAGGGTTTAATAATCTAATCCTCTTCTCAATACTCTGCAGCTGGGAAAAGGGGAAGGGATCGAGGAGCTTTGCGACAATGAACATTTTTGGTTGGCTACTTAAAAAATGAAAAGCAGATGATTGTTTGAGTTGCTTACTTTTTCAAAATTACAATCTTTGCAGCCGCACATATACCCAGTCCCTTGTATATACCCTTTAAGGTTTTTCTGCAAAGGAAAATTTAGCTTACATGATTTAAATTCCATTGGTGAAAAGTTAAGCACAGGAAATAACTCACCTCCCGTGACCAGGAAACGTACTTCACAGCAACCCCATCAAGCATACCAGTTGACCACAAACTTTTGACATTGGAAGGGAAATTGTTGGGAGAAACCTTTTTAGCTGTCTTTGGTTCTTTATGCTTCGGGTTGGTATCAGTTATAGGAATACTTTTAGGGGTACTATTTACATTTAATTCTGGGTTCGACTGAACTAACTGTTGCTGGCTAGGCAATTCTGAAGCTTGTACTGGATTCTGATTATTTATCAATAAGTCATAGCCACTAATAATACTGCCAGAAGGATTTGTCTCAGATTCATCATTGAAGGCCCCAAAAGATATGGTATTACTTTCACCCTTGTTGTAGCTTTGATGCATGGATGGAATACTGGACTCTCCTTTACCTTGTGTAGGAGTGATTGTTGCTATGTTACACATTGCCTTACAATAGGATGGTTGCATTGGTATATTATCATCTTCCTTATCAAAAGAGGGCGCCATTGAAATTAAATTGGCAAAGGAAGGGCTAAATGAAGCCAAATTGGAGTCTCCTTTCTCATATGATTGCCCCATTGAAATAAAATTGCCATCCTCCTTGTCAAAAGGTTGACACATCGACAAGATACTCTCATTTCCCTTGTCGTAATTATGCCCCACTGATATGAAATCAGCATCTCTCTTGTTAAAGGTGTGCCCCATTGAAATAAACTCGGCATCTGCCTTTGTAAATGTGGCACCCATTGAGATGGTATTTTCATCCACACTACTGTAAGTTGGGCCCAGTGATCTACCGTTGTTAACACTTGTACTGTAAACAGTAGACATTGAAACTGTGCTATTAACTCATATACCATACGGATGTCCCACAGATGTCGGCATGCCATTCTTTGAATCCTTAACTTGGTTAACTTTAACTTTCCTTATTCCACCAAAACTGAGACACGGGACATCTTCAACAGTATGAGACATGGATAAACCCGATGAACTATTGATGTATTGATCTTCAAAATCCTTTCTTCCCACATCCATATTTCCACTGTCAACAGAAGAAATGTTCCTATCAACAAAATTGACAGTTCGCACGGGCGCAGATCCAAATAGGCGATCACTGAATTGGCCAGAAACTGACTGAAAACTGGAAGCATTGTTCCATGGAGAAACATTGATGTCTGCAATTCCTGAAACAGGTTGGATGTCAACTGAATCTATAGCTTGCTTCTTGTTGCTGAACAATTCTGGTGCAACAGCATCCATAAACCAGTGATGAGCACGCTTTGATTCAGATCTGGAAGAATTATTGTAATGCATCTCTCCATTAGTTAGACATGTACCATCTCTTGGCGTCCAAAAACCTTTTTGCTGGAAAGACTGCCAAAATCAAATAAAACAGAGAATCAGAGCAGAGGCATTTATTATCAAAAGATAACAAATAGGCTAACTATACATTTTTTTTATAAGAATGTTAGGCCTCGTTAAAAAAACCCTTTCTGGATTAATGGAGCTTGTAGGAAAGCTCCTTAATCAGCGGAAGGAAGAAAAGAGTGTCTTAGGATTATATTCATCATAATAAATTAAATAGGAACAACAAGAGAAAACCCCCAACAAAAACAGAAAACCAAGAAACAACCCTAAACAACCATAAACAACAACACTAACTCAGCCTATGCCTTCTTTAGCTTAAGGCAACAGCCTCTAAGTTGGCTGTCCTATTTACCCATCTAACACCACCTTCAAAGACTTTAAGCCTATGAACATTATCTTTAATCATGAAAGCATACACATCAGGACATAATTCAACCTCCTTGATCCAATCCACTGCTACCTTACTGTCACTCTCAATAATCAAACGGTCCTTGATCCGCTCTCGAAAATTTGCATAGAAAGACAACCCCTTAAGAATAGCTTTTAATTCCATCAAGGTGGGAGGCCCCGGACCAGCAGATTCCTTGAAAGAGCCTAAAGTCAATCCTGAGGAATCTTTTAAAACTCCTCCTAACCCGTTCTTCCAATCCCTTGTAGTAGCAACATCAACATTTAATTTAACAAAGCCCTTAGGAGGAGGAGACCAAGGAAATATAGATGCAATCTGATTAGTGTGTAGCGAACAAGAGTCCCCTAAGGAAGGGTCTGAAATAAGTGAGTCCTTAGGAATAGACACCTCTTTATGCTTCGCTAAGAACCAAGAAGCAAGCCTAAACCTAACTAAAATGTATTTTGCCTTGTCTAACTTTCCCCCTTCAAACACGAACAAATTCCTAATTTTCCAAGTGGTCCAAAGAACACCCCTAGAATAAAAGGCCATGTCGGTGAGTTTGTCTTCAAACCATCCCAAGCTAGAAAAAAGCTTTTAGCATCAGCAAGAAAAACAGAACTAATCCTCCAAAAATTTAAAAATTTATTCCAAAGAGACCACACCACCGAACAAGAGAAAAACAAATGAGAGGGAGACTCATCCATCATCTTGCAAAGAGGACATAACACATCTTAAATTCCCTGAACTCCTCTTTTGACAAGTTTTGTCCTAACAACCAACTTCCCATGAACAATCTGCCAAAGAAATGTCTCCATTCTTGGAGGCAGCAGACCTCTCCAAATAATCTTCTTCCAAAAATAGACCTACTCCGATCCCAAAGAATCCGATGAACATAGATTAACAGCAGATCTTACAATAAAAACTCCATCCCCAGTACCTTTCCAAATCAAGCGATCAGAAATTTCCATTGATAGTGAAAAATTTGAAATGACAGCTAACAAGTTAGACCACTGTTCAAGTTCCCAGTCATTCAGATTCCTTCTAAACTTCACATCCCAAATCCAAACAAAAGAGATGTACTTCCCAAATTCAAATAATTTCCCATTCTTATTTGAGGAAATAGAAAATAGTCTTGGGAAAATGACGAAAAGTGGATGATCCAAAACCCAAATA